GGGCTTCTGGGAATGAGAAGATGCTCCAAAATAAGGCATCCACTCCTGAATTATCTTGTGTTAAAGAATAATGCAGCTTATTTTTTTTCACTGCTGGATTTGCAGAGTAGACAATCAGAGACACCATGCTTCAGGCCTGGGGACCAAGTCCAACCAGGCTGGGGTCTTGATATGGCCCTCCAAAGTTCCCTAGAAGGCTCTGCCCATTCTCCTGCCACCCTCTTTCCTATAATCATTGAGGGATCGATGGCTTTCCACTTTTCCACAGTTCCTTACTCTTGTTAAAAGGAAAAATGCCTCTTTTTAGGCACAGTCACCAGCCCTAAATGCTGCAAGGTACAACATATTTGTAGTTCCATTTAAGCACTGTCTCCTTTGCCTTTGACCACACCTACTACTGGATGTGGCCCCTGAGAGCTTTTCCAAAACGGAACTTGGCCCTCAACTCCTCTGGGCTAGACGGAAGACTAGGCTGTCCTACTGGCACAGAAGTAGCACTCCTCGATTGCCCAGGGTCCCAGATTTGGTCCCCGACATCTCCCATTCAAAAAGTCAGGCTGATGAGCTACTGCCAGAAAGACTCAATATAACCTGGCCTGTAGCAATAATGTGTGTGTGGTCCAAATGTGGCCTATGGCACATGCTTTAGATGCTCAGAGATCAAACCCAAGTGCACAATCACCCTGGGCAGGAGAGGCGTGGCCAAAATATCTTTTGGCACACACAGCACCCCTGCTCTCCAATGCCGGGAATATTGTGTGGAGCCATTTACAGCTACCTGGGCTTCCTAGACATTAAAAGCAATTAATGCTTCAGCTTTAATGTAGCTTTTGCTATGGAACGTGGCTCTGCTTGTCTTTATTTTATTATTCATGAAACTTTCAAAGGGTGTTTGATGTGCTGGAGTGGTGCGTTGCAAAATTGGAGAACAGCAATATTTTCATTCCACGGAGAGCTTGTGCAAATGGCAGATGACCCCCAACAACTGCCCTGGCACCACGCATGGAGTTGGCAGGGGTGGCCTGCTGCGCTCAGGGTGCACCTGCCACAAAAGAATATGCTGAGCCATCCTCTCAGTGGCTCAAACAAATTGCACACACAATTGGTATGGCATGAATACATATGGATTTTATAGTTCCTAGCAAGCACATCTCTCATCCTGTATGACTGGGGTCAATCAAAGAGAGCCAGTGTGGTGTAGTGGTTAAGAGCATGGGACTGGGACTCAGGCGATCTGGGTTCTAGTCCCCGCTCAGCCATGGAGCCAACTGGGTGGCTTTGGGCCAGTCACAGACTCTCAGCCCAACCTACCTCACAGGGTAGTTGTTGTGGGGATAAGATGGAGGAGGAGAATGATGTAAGCTGCCTTGAGCCCTTTGTAGGAAAAAGGCAGGATATAAATCAGAAAAAAAAATTCTGCACCAAAGTTTAATGGACAAATGTAATAAAAGTGAGAACTTCAGGAATGGAACAAACGGATGGAAGACTTTCCCTGGGATGTGACTTGGTCTAGGCCAGGGGTCGGCAACCTTTACCACTCAAAGAGCCATTTGGACCCGTTTCCCACAGAAAAGAAAACACTGGGAGCCGCAAAACTCTTTTGACCTCTAAAATGAAAATAACACTGCATGTATCGTTTTCTACCTTTATGCTATGTATAAAAAAAACTATAGTGTGTTGCATTTATGAAAAAGATCGGGGGTTGTGCTGTGCTGGTGCAGGTTGCAGATCGGCAGCTGAGCGATGGAGCCGCAGCAGAGGGATTCAAGAGCCACGTGCGGCTCCGGAGCCGCGGGTTGCCGACCCCTGGTCTAGGGCAAGCCCAGCAGTGCAGGGGTGGGTGTGAGATATGCATACCTGTGTATCTGTGACCTGGAAGTCTCACCCCTTAACCGTAGGTGTGTACAGATTGGGTGTGGCTAGTGAATGGGCAATGGAATAAAAGCATCCTGCACTTGTTCAGAGGCCTTTCCTTTCTATTATTTCTCACTGTTCAGGGAAGGAGGAATTTCACAGTTTGGGGGCCACCACAGAAAAGGCTCTCTCCTCAGTGCCGTCATGTCTAATTTCTGAAGCTGGGGGAGTAGATAGAGAAGAAATTTCCCTAACATTGGCCCCTCCAAAGTATTTTGGACCTCAGCTCCAGCCATCATCACTGACCATTCATTGTGTTGACTGAGGCTGCTGGGAGGTGTGGCCCAACTGTGTGATGATGAGGTTTATATGGAGGAAGGCAATTCTTCATTTGCGTCAGAGCTGGTTGATTCTCAGCTTCTCATTCTAGTTTGAATATCAGGGCATGTATCTCTGCACATGTGCAGTGTGCTTTCCCCATAGTTTGTTTTCACATATTAAGATAAAAGAGCTTGCGGCTGGCCAGCTGGGTCTTTTTCCCTTAGGAATTAAGCACCGAGGGTGTATCAAAGAAAATGAAGTAGAAGCAGCTGTGAAGGGAAAATATATTCTCAGGGAAGGGAGGAAAAGACAGTTGTTAAATCCAGTTTGGGGTAAGAAATCAGATGCCTCTTGGGTGATGCAGCACTCAAGTTTTTTAAACTGTTGCTAGGAATGTCAAGGATTCTGCTCTGAACCTTATTTAGGGCTTCACGTTTCCCTCTCCCTCCAATTCCTCTTTGCTGCAGTTATGATCCTGAAATTGTCAAGCAGAAAACATCAACAGTCATTAATGCATTCCATTCCTCACCAGAAGGGCTTGCAATATTACACAAGTGAATTTCCTGGGAACATTTTGTGGTTAAGTCCAGAAAAATGTAGATATTAGCCTTTTCTTGGCTGACAGTCCAGGGGCTTGCTACCCAAATGCATGGTCTGTGTCCCATCACAGACATAAGAGTTGAAACAAACTTTGTTCCTCAAAGTTCTCTGTGAATTGTTGATGTTGACCATTCCCCAGATACTTCCTGGTTGCTCAAATATTTGCTGTCTGTATTTGACAAGCGTGCAGATACGTTATGTGCTAACTGCCTCACTCTTACCACCCTCCTGCCAGCCTCATGTTAAACCAACCACAGTTTCTGAACTCCTTTAAAGGCAGCCCTGTTCAGGAAGCCTGGATTCCACCTCTATGTTGGGTTCACACATGTGTTTGAGGTCAGGATCATGTTCTCCAAATACAATTGCTATTGACAAGCCAGCCAGAGATGGCAAAAGCACTCCTAAATACAGTGAATAAAGGAAAGAGATCACTTTCAAAGTTTTCTGGAGAGAACTGTGCACCTACTCTTCCCCACCCCAAGTGGCGGGATCAGTGGGTGCTCTTGGCCGGATTCTCCCAGTGCTGGCACAAGGTTCCAAAAGGTCCAGTCCCTTTACACACTAAGACAAAGACAAGGAAAAGCAAAGAGAAAAAACAGCATAACCTGTTCTAGAGGGCCAACACTTCTGGTTCCCAAGGAGACTCCACTACTGTTGAACCGTGTAAATTTTCAGATGTTTGTCAGTTGTATAATATTCTTCCGTTGCATATCTGAGAACTTCAGTTAGTTGCTCCAGAGCAAATTACGAAAATACAAGATCAAGGCTTATTTCTTTCAAGACACAAACTATTGAAAATAAGCTCTGTCTATCATCTATCCATCCAGGTAATATGTTACATATTTATTTAATGATGTGATTATTATGAATATTAATATGCATTTAAATATTGCCCTTTTAATCCATCTATTAGGGCAAATTAGAGACCTTGAACCTCAAATCCAAGAGCCAAATCAAACCCTCCTGGATCCGTTGCTCAGATAGCCATTTTCCGCTCCCTTTACTGACCAGGTGGGTCCAGCTTTTGTTTGGTGGTTTCCTGCCTTTTGTGATTTCTTCCCTGTTCTAGAAAGTTGGGAGTGCCTCTCTCAGGCCTTAATAATCAGCAGCAAGAGCTCTTACCTGAAGTATGTGGATAGTCCTTAGTGCTATCCACATAGTGCTGCCCAGCACTAGGATATGGCTTCTGAGATTTTCTTCTAAAATCGAAGCTAGCCCTCCTGGAGACAGAAGTTCAGCACCCCCATTGCCAATGGATCTGTGAAGGTCTTCTCTGATCAGGCTCAAAGGGACTCTTGGTCCCCAGTTCTCAGCTCTGAACATTATGACTCTGGCAAGGAAAGAGTCTTTCTAAGTTAAACTTTTATGTAATTTCAGTACAGTTCATCTGAGCCAGAAATCGCAAAAGCTGAGTTCCAGAAGTTCAGCACAATTGTGGCTGTAGCTGCTAAAGCCTTGGGCAAGCCAGCTCAGCCACAAGGTTCACCTGCCATGGTCTCGTGGCCATTTCTACCTTGCAGGATTGTTGTGAGCAAAGATGGTTCATTTGAAGCAAATGCATTGCTTTCCCAGGCAGTCACCAGTATGGGAAGTGGAAGATACATCTGATAAGCCTCACTGATCTGATCTTCATTCCAAGGGCAGGAAGGTTTCTGCTTCCTGTAGATAAGGGAAGTCACAGAGTTGGCAAGTATGCTAAAACTGGTTCATGCTGGCCTGCTTTATCCTTACTGAAATCTGTGGAGCAAGTTAGTCACCAAATCAATCTGGGACTACAAGCACAAGCAACTCAATCTGGATCCAAACCGTTGTTTCTACTGTAACCATTGTCCCCCTGAGCATGGGCAAAGTGAATTTCTCTTCCCACTGAAAAACTGCAGCCACCTGTGCCTAGAGGTGTGGCTTCCACAAGGAAACTCGTCTCCTCTGGGGCTTGCAGGCAGGAGAAATCGGCCCCTGCCTTTTTCCTGCCCGGTTCCCGTGCGCGTGCTGGGCAGGTGTCCAACCTGCCTGGGCCCCTTTAAGAAGGCAAGTGCCCGTCGCTCCGGCTCGCTGCGACTGTTTCTTTTCCCCCGGAAGAAAAGTGTAGCCAGAAGGGCTTAGATTCAGCGCAAGGTGGGGAGGAGGTAACCGAGCAAGGGAGCGCGCCTCCCCCTCCTAAGTATCGCAGGCGGGCAGGCACAGAACGGATTTATCCGGACCGTTTGCAGGGAGACAAACTGGGGGGAGGGGGGGCGGCGGAAGAGAAATCCCTCTCGCAAAGGCGCCGCTGGGAATCTGCAGCTGCAGAGCAAAAGTGGGGGTGCGAAGGAGGCAGAGGGGAACCCGCGGGCACGGCAAGCGACAACCCTAACCCGCCGAGCCGCACTCATTGAGGAAACGAGGAAGAAACTGACCCGGCGCGAGATGTCTCCTGGTCGATCTCAGCGCTGCAGAACCGCCGGGCTGAGGCGCCGGCTCCGGAGGCAGAGCGCGCTGCTTTTAGGGTGTAGCCTGTGGATTTCTCTTTGCTCGCTAAGATGCGCTGCTTTCAACCTGGACACTAAATTTCTGGTCCTCAAGAAAGGCAAGACTCCGGACAGTTTCTTTGGACTCTCGGTGGCTCTGCACCATCAAGAGAACCCGCAAAGATACCTGTGAGTGGAAAAGCACTATAAAATCTCCTGGATTTCTTGTTTTGGAGGGGAGGGAAATATCCCATGAGTATTAAAAAAAGGCGATGGGGTTGAGTATCTAAAAAAAAGCCTATGGCTCTCCGATCGTGAAAGTTTACTCCTGAGATATTGGAGTGGGGGGGATTTATTTCCCTACGCATGACTTGGGCATTTAATTGAGCACAGGCTTTTGAGTTACACAAACCTTTAGCAAGCCAGAATCTGAGTCTTAAGAGCCACTTTGGCATCCACGGTACTTAAGGGGACCTCCCTTAACTTCTTGTAGTTGCAATCCTGTACCATTTGTCTAGCCATGGAATAAGATGGGACTTACTTTTGGGAAGACATGAATAGGATTGGGCTGTAAGGCATTCTCTTTTCTTTCTGCTCCTTTTAGTGCTCTCTGTTTTCGACCTGTCTGAGGCAAACACCGACAGGTACAGGAAAGCTGCCCACAGGCTGCTTTAAAGGGAGATTAGATAAGATTCCTGGGGCATATTAATAGTTGCTAGCCGTTGTGATTATATACTCTGTATTGTCAGGTGCAACATTACCTCCAGACACCAGTTGCTGTGGAAAACAAACGGGAGAGTGCGGCTGTATGTCTGCGGTGGCACTCACCTGTGGGCAGCTGGTCGCATGCCGTGGCAATAAGATGTTGGGCCTTGGCCTGATTCAGCAGGGCGCTGAGTTCTGCCTTCATTCTCTGATGAAGTCTGGCAGTCTCTAGGCTGTTTTCAATTAAATTCCCAGCTCTTGGTTCCTTCGGAGGTGGAATGTTAACTTCGTTTCTTCGTCTCTTGCCAATTAACAAGCAGATTTTCTTTCTAAGCATATGCACAGAAACGGAGAACTTAAGGATTGTCAGTTTACCTCTGTTTGCGTTATTCGGCTCATGGGTTTAGCCGGATTTCATCTGTTTATGGACTGCAAATTACTGTCTGCATGTTTGAGCCCGAGAGCTATTTTGTTCTGCCTGGTTGATTTGAAATGGTCCTATTTTGGGATGTTGCTGCGAAAAGAATGGCCAAGGCCCTTTATTTACCCTGGTAAACAGTGGCTGCAGGTAATGCGAAAGGTGAATGCAAAACTCCCCGCTTGTAATGGCAGCCTTCAGCTGATCATAGGAAAAGTACAGGGAGACCACAGCTGCCCAATGGCAAGTTGCTGCTCAAGCGACCTTATCAAACAGGAGTAGGGGACTGAAAATACCAGCATGGCACCAGGTAGTAACTTTTTCCCAGGGAGCTTCAGCAATTGAGCTGCCTAGAAATGCAACTAATAATATTAATGTCCCCATGTTACTTGTAGCAACTCCATCAAAAAGGTGTAGGCATGAGTATTTGTATCAGCAAAGCATCTTCAATATCTGCCTTTATTTTCATGGAAACCACCATGCCGCTATCTTGTTTGGTTTTTAAAATATTTATATCCTACCTTTTTCCTTCCAAGGAACTCAGGGTAGTTCACATAATTCTTCTCTTCCTCCTCACAACAACCCTGCGAGGTAGGTTGGACTGAGGAGCTGTGATGGGCCCATAGCCACCCGGTCAGCTCTATGGCTGAGTGTTGATTTGAACTCGGATCATCTGAGTCCCAGTCCTGCACTCATAACCATTATTTAGTGTCCTTTTAGGAATAAATCCATGTGGTCCCAAACCTGGAGGTCAGCGTAATTCAGAGCAGCACAGTTTAGCCTGGGGTTATCAGAACAGTCACAGGTGTAGCCTAGTAAAAGACATATGTACTCTCCTCTTTTCAGTGTGCTTATCCTGTCACTGGCAGCAAGTGATGGACCCCAATTCAGTAACTGATGTACTGAATTAGGGCCCAAATACATACATAACCAGACATTTTAAGAAAGTGTCGATCTCACTTTATCTTCAAAAGAAACCAAAGTGGCTAACAATATATATTTTAAATCTACAATAATTTATATTTTAAAAAATGATAAAGAGATGGGAAAAACAGCCCTAAAGCTTTAAACAGACAAACAAGCCACAGAATAATACCCTGGAACTGCAGAAAGATTAATCCAGCAGGTCAAAAGCCTGATGGCATAGAAGCCTTTGCCACCTAGTGGCAAGATTTCTTTGAATGGGCATGTGCTGAATTTCACAATGCCCACTGAAAACAGTCTGAGATGGAGACAGTTTTGACACTCTAGATGTTACTGGACAACAGTTCTCATCCCCCTTGACTATTGGATATGCTGGCTGGGGCTAATGGGAGGTGGAGCCCATCTATGTGAGTAGGACCAAATGGTCCTTCCTCCACTCCTGAAACAATATTCTAATCTCGGGCTGAGTGGTTTGTCAACTTGCTGCCTGTGCTGTGGCCCTGATGTGCTTGGATCCAACCTGGAAGGGCCAGCATCAGAACTGAGGGTGCCCTGGGCAAGACACCATCTGGGACGCACTCCAAAGCCACCCTGGTAGAACCCCAGATCTGTGCTTTCCTGCTGCACGCCAAGTCAAAGGCCACCACTGCCTCCTGCTGCTGCCCTCCCATAAACTTGTTGCCCAAGCAGGACCTGTGGTCGGCCCTGAGAACTGAAGCACCGGTGAAGTGGCTGCAGAAGGTGCCACCACCCTCGCTGTCCCAGAATGCCTGCTGGGCTCCCCCAGCCTGGTGCCTTCCAGACATTTTGGAGTGCAGCTCCCAGCAGCTCCAGCTAGCAAAATGAATGGTCAAGGAGAACGGGAGCTAAGGTCCAGCTGGGTTAGACCAGTAGCTAACTCGGTTTGGGAAGGCTTTTCCCTTCTCTCTGTTACCCTGGCTGTCGAAACTAGGCTTGAAGGGTTTGGAGAGAGATCCTTTTTCAGTGGTGCAGGGAAGCCACGGCTCATGGGGAGGTAGCGCCAGCGAACGTTTATTAGCAGGTTGCTTTTGGAGCAGGCTGCTCTAGGCCCATGATGCAGTCTGCATGCGAGGCTTTGGAGGCATGTGGAACAGACTTCCCCAAACTGTGCCCTCCCGAGGCATTGCTCTGTAATTCCCATGCATGCTGGGAATGCTGTCATTTGTGGTTAAAACACCTGGGAGGACACCAGGTTGGAGAAAGCAGGTGTAGAACTTTATTGGATTTGGGGGTGCAGTTCCAAATATGAGGTACCCATGTGTGCTGTGTTTCTTGTTTTGGATTCTGCTGCAGGGCAACAGCTTTGGTCACCACACAATGCAAAGCAGTGGCTTTTTGGCCCTTGGTGGGAAGGAAAGCGTGAATCTGGGCTTTGTTGCCTGAGCTGGCATTTGGCATGGTGCCTTCTCATCCCCGCCTGCCCCTGTGTGAATGCAGCTTGCACAGTGGCGTTTCTCCAGTCACTGCTGGATGGCCGCCATTAAACATCTCCCATAATGCCTCAGAACGATGCTACATCCAGGGCATTGTCAGAAATTGAAACAGCAAGTACAGTTGAAGTTGGGGTCGGGGGAAGATGGGTACCAGAGGGTACACTTGGCCAGTGATTTAACAGCTGTCTGATCATATACACTGATTTTGCCCAGTACATTTCTGTTGCCTGATCCAACTTTCATGGGGACATGGGTTTTCTGAGTGCTCTCCTCTCCAGGCGCTGACCGGCCCCAGTGCTTCTTCGTTTCCTCAAGGTGGCTGCATCACAGAAGCAGGCAGCTTGTAGAGCAAACCATTAGAAGAGCCTAAATCCCATAATCCCTCACCACTTGCAATGCTGGCTAGGGCTGATGGGAGTTGTAGGTCAAAAGGATGTGGCGTGCCATATGCTCTCCACCAGTGCAGTGTTATGCGATGGCCACAGAGCATGTCCTGGGCGAAGTGGGCAAATCTTTTTCTGTCAAGGGCTGCATTTGCTCAGGTCAAGGGTTGCAACCTGTGGAGGGGCAGGCACACGCAGGCAGTGGAAGGGCCTGGAGCCAACATGGCATGGATCATAGAATCACTCAGTTGGAGGGGGCCTAGAAGGCCACCAAGTCCACCCTCCTGCTCAGTGCAGGACTCGGGTGTCCCGCCCAGATTGCAACCAGGTCTGACCCTGCCTAGCTTCCAGCCACTCTCTTTTCTCTCCTGCCAGCCCACGAGCAGCAGTGATGGGAAGGACACTTGGCCCTCACCAGAGATCTGACTGGATCATGTGTGGAGGGCTTTGGAAACCTGAGGGCCACATGGAGCCCTGGGTTGTGGTTGCCTTTGCACACCCCAGAGTGGATCTTCTCTTCTAATGGGGAAGATTGTAGCTCCTGGCTGCAGATTGCCATATTTGGGGATACAGGAAAGAACATCCCCTCCAGGCATATAACCTGGTAGCTCTCAGCTGCGTTTTATTCTTCTTGGCTCTTGGCTTTATCCTTCTTTGCTTTTGTCATACGACATGCTTTTTGTCTTTTGCTTCATCCCCTGGCTTGATCCAGCAAGCACATGCCCCATCTTGCAAGTGCTTCTCTGTGGTTCACACCTTGTCTGTCACTCATGTGCCTGGGCAGCCTGCAGCCTCCCTGTCTGCTGTGCAGCGTGATTGGTGGTTTCGGAACTGTGCAGGATTTACTGCTGTAAGTCAAGCTGAATGTTGCGCTCTCCAGCTCCAACTCCCAAAGCTCTTGAGCTTTCTGTTGCGGAGGAAGAAGGGGGGCATTTTAAGAGTTTGTTTCTGAGAGCTGTTCCCCATGTTTGGATGACATGAGATATAGCAAACTCAAGCTGTGCCTGAGCTCTTTAACTGGGTTTTAATACATTCATTTTATTATTGTTTTAATAATCAAGTCTTAGTTATGATTATAAGCCACTTCAAGTGCTATTTTTCTCGGGAGAAAGACAGTGCACAAGTTGAATGAATGAATGAATGAATGAATGGATGGATGGATGAATGAATATTTGATGCTGACATTGAAATATCAAGTTCCTTGCAAGAGAAAGAAAGGTGGAGTAAAATAATAATGATAACAATAATTATAATTTTTATTCTGAGATTTTTTCCTAAGAGGCTGTGACTGGCTGAAGAGTCATA